GAGAGATTGAAGTCTTAATTTGCTGTTCTATCTGAGATCATGTTTGTTCTAATATAATAAACTACTCTGGAGTCTAGATGTATGGAAATTGGTTTCAAGAATGCCAGCAACAATTCCCTGAGTTGCTCACGTTGAGTCATTTTGTAGACTCTATTCTCAGGCATTATTTTGTTATGCTTTTTATATTGTCAGGGTTTTGGATTTTTTATGCTGCGGTATATGTGTACATCATAGAATGATTTTTGAAAGATTTTGCCTTGGATCACGTTTAGGACATGAAAGCAGTTGGAGTAACACAGGGTGGTGTGAATATATATCCTTCCTCAGTGCCTCAAACAACAAATCCAGGCTCTACTGTTTCTGAGAATGCACCTAATCTAGGTAATGGTGGAAATGTTCCAGCCGCTAATGTGCAGAATCAACTGCCCCTGAACTATGGAGAACTAAAAGGAAAGAAGAAAAGTCATTATCATGGAAGAGGAAAAGGGATTGGTGCCATCCCAAGGGTCGAGGATCTACCGCACCCGGGTGGACAGGATCAGGGTTCGACGTGGATGGTAGAACCTAGGAGCCATTTGAGGATCAGGGTTAGAACAAATTATCAAGTTGGGGGTATCACCGGTCTTTCTCCCCCATCTCTTCCCACATTTCTATCCTTTCAATTGCATATAACTTGTTGATATGAGTGATGCCATTCGGCTTTTCTTTCATGAACAGATACGTGTATCATTTAGAACCTAGCAATGATAATAACAAGTAATAAACTCTTGTTTTGTTATCAAAGGGTGATGCCATTCGGCTTTTCTTATGGTATTGTGGAACTATTATTCTGTAATGGAATTTAGTAGTGTGTAATAGATTGAGGTTTTAGTGCATAAAGGGAAAGCAAGCATGAAGAATTTGGCATGCTTACACCAGAAGCAAATGGCAAGTGGAATTCCCATAGTCCTGACACTGACACACAGTTAATTTATAGTAAATGGATCATGGTATTCATGGGCATCCATCCCTTTGTCGGAAATACTGCGCCCACCACGCGCTTCCGGTCATTCATGCTTTAAAGTATACATTCTTAAAATAAAATATGTTTTTTGGCCCATATAAAGGGCGAGTAAAACTCGATTTTTTTTACTCGAGATTGAATACTCACCCCCTACCCATATGTTGTCCAAAAAAGCAAATGATTCTCAAAATATGTTTCTTTTGGATGATAGATTTGCGTTTATAGAGAGTCAAATCAAATCGAGTTCTTTTCTTTTTTTTTTGATGATTTAGATTTTCGAGTTGATATTGATCTCAAATCATAATCGGATAATGATAACTTAAGCTAAGTTCTTCTCTCTCTGGGCTTTTGTTGATTTAAATGTTTGAGTTTTTCTCACTACTTATGTCAATCTGATTTTTGGATTGATATAATCTCAAAATCATAATTGTTTTAGTCGATTGAAACTTGTTAAATTCAAGTAAAATGTTTATCTCTATCCTCCATCTATTTTTCCTCCTCATATATCTGTTCATTATCCTTCCGTGAGATAAACAAAAAAATTTATGTAAAAAAATACAAATTTTTAAAAAGTTATAAAATTAAGAAATTTAAAATCATGGAATTAGATCATAAAAGAAGATATAGAATAATTTTATTTTATTTTTCAAAACTTTTAACATCTCTCCATCCATGTTTATTTCAAAAAGAAAACAAATGAGAAAATTCCAGACATGTCATGGAAATAGAGGGAGACAACTATAGCATTACCAAGAGCAAGTGGTAAATAAGAAAGGATGAGTTATCTAACACAACATCTGTCATGTAGAATTCTAACATATCACATGATCTATCTGATCACAACTGATATTAGTTTCTTTTTCCTTTTAACTATTTCAATAAATTAATATAATGGGGGTAATGTCTGATATGATGTGATGCATGTGCCATGCACCGGGTCATTTGGCAAAATAATAATAATAATAATAATTCAGATTGTATTATCATGCAAACCATCCTAACTTTAAATTTAATATTAACAATAGAAAATAAGAATATATTTATTAAAAAAATTAAATTAATTTTGATTATTTATTTTTATTCATCCAATAGTCTTAAATATATGTAAATTAAAAGAGTTTTACATTGTGTAAGTGTACGGATAGACCCAGGGTAAACAGTGAGAGTAATCACTCCTAAAAATTTAAAATTATCGTATATTTTAATTTTTCTGTATATTTTTTTTACTAAAAATATGTTTTTGCCCTCCTTAAAATTGTATAAATTCGCCTAGAATCTTAGAAGTTGTTTCTTCTAATCATGTTTATTCATATATAAATGAATGCTAATTATAAACAAATGAAATATATATCTAAAAAATTTCTCTCTCTAATTTTAGATTTGAGAGGCAAGTAGAGTGAAGCAGTCAGTGTGAGTCAGGAGTAGGCAAGAAGGAATCTTAGAATATATAAATGAATCTCTCAATATTATATTCTTATGTGCTCTCACCTCATCTTCCGTTTATATTTTGGGTCGACATTAAGTTTTTCTTTTCTTTTATTGAATTATTGATATATAATTCATTAATTAATTAAATGAAATAAGATATCACCTAATTTTTTATTGCTCCATTTCCCAAGATGCTTCAATTTACGGTTAGGATTGATCAAAATATGGCTATGAATGAGATTTTAGAAAATGAGTGATTCTCATTTATATTTATAACTTTGCAATTTATATTTCATAAAATTCAAAAAATCAAGAAGTATCAATAACATCAAAATCAAACATTCACTCGTACAACAATCAAGAAGTATCAAGTTTTTCGACACGCGCCTTCTACTTTGAATTTATAATTGACAACAAGGATGGAGCCAATTTGTTAGGTGAAAGGAATTATTCCCCCAATTTTTAATATAATAATATTTAAAGTTTTTATTAATTTAACTTTTTAAATAAAATACTTATTTCTTACAATTTTAAACTTAAATATTTAATAATTAATTTTTAAATTTAAATATTTGATAAATTCAATCGTCGTGAGAGAAAGAAATTGATCCAAAAGTTGATAAAAATGTTATAAAAAACATAACATTTTAAGTCGAATACAACCGAAAATATTATAAAAAATAAACATTTTAAGTTCAATCAAAATTACTATAAAAAAAATATAACATTTGAAGTTTTACCTAACAGTTACAATTTTTAATAATATTTTCAATTACATTTATTTCTATCGTTTTCCAACTTTTAATTATTAGGTTTCAATCACATAACTAGTCGGAAATTTCAAAGTATTTGAGTGGGATTTGATTGGATTGCAATTTCATTAGGCTTTTGGTTGTGAAAGTTGAAACTTTAGCTGCTTAGCTCTACAGATACCATATTTCCTGTATTGTCTTGTCAACCCTTTTTTACTTTCATCGATCTCTACTTTAATTTTGCTTTTGGGGAACTTTACAAGCACAAACTTCCGTGACAAAGACCCAAATCTAACGTACCCAATAATACAGACAGTACACAAGTTTGAATTAATAGTGTTCAAGATAAGGAAATGAATTTTCACCACTTTTATTTGGTTGAGTAGTGAAAAAGAAAGGAATGCTTCATTTTTAAAATTTGCGATTGCTCTATATTTAAGTTTTCTATTAAGAGTTGAATCTATCGAATGAGTTAAGGTGATTAAAAGGAATATTGTTCTTCATTTATATTTTAAGTTGGAGTTATGTTTGGAGAATATACGTAGTGTCATAAGAAAAATCTTGAACAAATACTTTTTATAATCAATCCAGACTTAAAAAAATGTTCTATTCATCGTTTAATATGTTAAATATCGATATAAGATCCAAAATTGAACTACCAAAGATTGTGTCTCTAATGTATAAAATTCAAAATTGTATTTGAAAAAAAAAGATTAAGGACATGTTGGGGGCAATACGCTCTAAAAAAAAGTAGGAGCTAGAGTAATTATTTAATCAATTATTATGATATTTTTAATTTAAATCGAATGTTTAAATATATTTTATTAATATTATGTCTATTTTCAGGGTAATCTGCTATGTGACATTTAAAAATACGGTTAAAAACGGAGTGATCAATTCTACTGGTAACAGTTATCAACCTAAAATATTATATATACTGAAAATATTTTCGATTACAACCTAAAATGTTATATAAGTTTTTAAGTTGGTTTTTAACTTAATATTTCACGAAAAATATCAAAACATTAATTTATGTTGCAAATAAAAAATGTTACCAAATATATAGCATTTTAGATTAAGTATATTTCACGAGAAGTATCAAAACTTATGTTATGAGTTTCGATACTTACTAAGCAAACTTGAAATATTATATATATTGGTAACATTTTAGGTTGGATTGGTAAGTATCAAAACTTATTCTCTTAGGTTAGACACTTATCATTTCCAACCTAAAATATTATCATTATATATAACATTTTAGGTTGTAAATTGAAAATGTTATACGTTTGGTAACATTTTGTGTTGTAAATCGAAAATGTTGTGTTTGGTAATATTTCAAGTTGTAATTTAAAATATCTTTAATATTAAGTTGAAACCAATTTAGAAAGATAATATTTTTAGGTTGAAACAATTTTTTTTATTAATTTTAGGTTAGTATGAATAACATTTCAAGTTGATAATCGATAACAAAATACCTCATATTATTAATCGAAAATATTAAAAAATTACAAACTTAATAATAATTTCGATTATACCAATTTTAAAAATTATTCCATTTAATAATATTTCCGATTGATAGTAAAATAACCTTAAATTAAGGCGCTACACGTCGGGCTCACCCCAATTTGCAAATAAAAAAGTCGATACATTAGTGAAAATTATGTACAAAATTATGAAGGAAAAGAAAATTGGACATAAATCCTGTCATAGCTGTGTTTTTAACAACCAATGAGAAAGCGAGTACAGTCGCGGGTACCACAACAACAGCCATCGGTTCCACGTGTATGGTCCCAACGAATAGCATCTCATCACGTGCTTCACCCATGTGCCCTGTGTTTCCTGCCTCTCTCATTCTCAAACTGAAACCGTACACCAAAATCCACCGCCGTATCTAGCAGCGACTCCATTATCCCCTCCTCTATCTCAACCACAATCCCTTCCCCTTCTTCCTCGTACGCCATTATACTTTGGTGCTTCATTTCTGCCAAATCTTTTTCAATTAACCCATCAATGTCTTCTAAAACACGACAATCAGCTCGAGGAAAAGTTGTAATTTTGGAGCACAATACGTCTGTTAGTCGACACCGGGAAGAGGACAGTGGGGTACTTTTGTTTAAGCCTATGCGTCTTAGTATTCTACCGATGTACTCGTATTCTGCTTCATCACCGACGATGGTGGTAGTACCAGTAGCAGCACTGTTATATCTGTCGTCTCGGTCAGTTTGTACGTGCGTCGCTTCTTGTTTGTTGTACATTTGGCTCGAACAACTAGATAACTGTGAGCTGAGTTTCCGTTTTTGAGCATCTATGACCTGTTTTTGAGGGATTTTTGCACGATCTAGCTCGTTTGACAATGTGGTTTTCCTGCATTTCTTGTCTGGAATGTTAAACCTGTTGACCGTGGAAGGACGAACGAATGGCTCCTCTTGCCTTTTCAGTCGTGAAATGAACTTTTCATTGCATCTGCTAGCGGCTTTGAGTGGCTGCTGCTTGTGAAGCTCATCAATTGGCTGATCAGCCCGAGCTTTAGGAGAGGATGAAGATGATGATTTGCATTTGAATCGGGTAACAAGCTCTTCTTTGTTTCGAACTGTGTTGGTTATGTCCGAACCAACTTTCCGGCCAACACTTTTTTGTTTAACCTGCTTCACCATCAGCCTAGCTAGGCTTCTGTTCTCTTCTTCATGCTTGAGCTCTTTCTTTTTCAACGATGAGAGACGGGAAACGACCAGGTCTTCGATAGGGCTCATGTTTTCTTTGTTGATTTGAAGGGACAGGCGGTGGTGATGGTGGTGATCCACGTCTGACCTTCTTGCAGACGATATTCTCGGAGTCGCTGGCAATGAACGAGTGCCGCAGATGTCACCGTCTAATGATTTCCTGTGACGGAAATTTGGTGTGGAAGAAAGAGAGGGCGAAGGGGTTTCCTTTTGAGGAAGAAGATCAAGTCCCATGAGCCTAGCAATCAGTGTAGGCGTGTTGGTCCCTGGGGAAGACGTCTCATTATCTGCAGCTCCAGCGTTTGGCCTTGTTGTTTTGATCCGAATCCAATTCTGCAATTTAAATGAAGATGATGATGCTTCCTCCTCAGACTCCAAACTGTTCCTTGGCGCCTCTGCACCATTAATGACGGCGGTTTGTGGAGAGAGGAAGGAGTCGTGGGGTTTGAAACAACCACAACCCCCGCCACTGCCAGTGGCAGTAGCAACACTTTGGCGGCTTACAGGGAAGAGAAAATGATGAAAATCAAACAAGTGAAACACAGCAGAGAAGCAACCGGAGGGATGAGTGTTTCTCTTGGAAGTTTTAGTCCCACTTCCCCAGTAACAATCTCGGCCCATCTCCTCACAAACAATGGCAGAAGAAGTTTTAGAGCGTTGGTTTGAGGAAGAAAGGTTGAAAATTAGGTTATAGGACGCGGGTGAAGCGAAAAAGCGGACCAGCATGAGTATTCGATTGGGTTGATTGAAGTAAAATTGACGATTATTATTTTATAATTTTAATTTAATTTGAATTTTTTAATATACTTGAATTTATGAAATTTGGCATTGAGTCAAAATAAATTATTCGAGTTTTTATTTAAATTTAATTATATATATATTTTATATTTTTTTATGTGATATATGTCTCATGGAGAGTTGATAGATTCAACTCAAACTTAAAAATTAATTAACTAATTATTAAAAATTTTGAGTTATTCAAATCTTATTTTATACTTTAAACTTTATTTAAAAATATTCGAGTCAAATTTATAAAATTATGACTCGAATCAAATTAAAAAAAAAGTTTGATTTTCTAAAACCAAGTCAAAGATTTAATTACCTTATCCCCGAGGAATAAAACACGCATAGTTTTAGGAATTCAAAGTACAAACAAACATATTAGCATACCTATTGGAATCAGATTACTCGGTCACTCCAAGTTTTACCATGGACTATGGCTAAATGAGCAGGATCACTCACTTTCTGTTCCAGTTTTGGGAATGGGTAAAACTAGACTAGTCCTCATATAAAATTGCAAACACTGAAATGCAGTCACATTAATAAATTCGATTTACCAACCCATCAATTGATCTTAATGCACTACAGTAAAACTATACATTTGCGGCGCTTTTTTACCTATAGCGGCGTTTTTAAGCGCCACAAAAAGACCTTGCGACGATATGACAAACGCCGCAAAAGCGTCGGGAAAAATAACACTGCTAAAGTTCGTGGAGTTTGATAACAAAAAATGCCGCAATAGGGAATGACATATAGCGGCGTTTTCCCCACAAACGCCACAATAGGTGTTGAGATTTAGCGGCGTGTTGAGATTTAGCGGCGTTTACCATAAACGCCGCAATAGGTGTTTGAGGTTTACCGACGTTTTTCCAACAAACGCCGCAAATGCGTAAGTATATAGAGGCGTTTTTCGGATACAAATGCCGCAAAAGGTCTGCTATATAGCGGGGTTTTTAGGTTGCAAATGCCGCAAAAGGTATGGTATATAGTGGTGTTTTTTGTTACAAACATCGGTATTGTTTTTTATATTTAGAGGCGTTTTTCTACAAACGCCGCTAAAGAACACATAATTTAAACAATTTTAATATTTTATTCGATTACCCCACATCTATTTTTTTAATCTGTTCCATTATCCAACAAGCATGACACCAATAACATCAAATTGTTTTTTGGAGGAATTAATATATTTTCCTAAATAAAATGGCAACCCCTAATCCTATTCCACAAAACAACGGCATTCAGCCGCCGTCTAGCTCTGTGGCCATAGCAGTCTCTCAAAACGATGGGAACGTTGATGGTAATTTCATTGGACCTGAAGTATTGGTATCTCCTCAGTTGGAAAGGTCGGGATCTCCCTTCATGGATGAAGATCAACGCGCGACGAAGAAAGTTCGTAATAAGGAAGAAGTTGACCGTATGGAGGAAGACCATGCTGATTTGGAGGCACAGTCGAATACAGATTTCAATGATAAGATAGCATGGAACCATGGAAAGCTTTCATATGCTAGCGCGGTAATGGGCAACTCGAAGACGACGGTAGATGTGGTTTCGCTCAAAGCTATGGACGAAGTGGAGATCCTAGATGGTGAATGTATTGTAGACAACAATGGTCCGTATCCGGTGATCCACTTTGCAGACCAAGTTCACGATAGAATTGACTATAGCATGCGACGTTCGGTGATAGTTCGGCTTCTCGGACGTGCCATTGGTTATAAAACATTGCTGAATCGTATTGGCGTTCTATGGCAACTGTAAGGTCAGTATCAACTTATTGATCTAGAAAATGACTATTTCCTAGTGAAGTTTGAGAGGGAAGAAGATTATGTACATGTCTTGATGGAAGGACCATGGACAATATTCGGGAGCTATCTGACGGTTCAACCATGGAGTCGTACATTTTCCACATTGGAAAAGCATCCATCACAAGTTATTGTATGGGTGAGATTACCGGGTCTTCCCTATAGATATTATTCCAAAGCGATATTTCGTCGGATTGCTATGGTTATTGGTCAGGTTGTGAAAATTGACTATAGCACGAATTCGGGGGAGAGAGGTCGTTTTGCTCGCTTAGCGGTATTGGTGAATTTAAATAAGCCACTAATTCCATGCCTTAAGATTGATGGCTTTTGGCAAAAAATCGAGTATGAAGGTTTGCAGCAAATTTGTTTTCAATGTGGAGTGTATGGGCATTCGAAGGAAAACTGTGGTTCTGTGGAAGGGAGCACAAGACATGAAGGTTTAGCAGGCGAGCCTAGCGTGGTACCAAATAACTCGTTAGGAAGCGAAGACACTGGGTTTGGACCTTGGATGATTGCTGAAACTCGCAAAAGGAGACCAAAGAAAGTTGTGGAGAAAAACACCAAAGGAAGTAATGTTGAAGCTAGAGGATCTCGGTTTGGTATTTTAAATGAGATAAATAATGGTCAGGAAGAGGTCACTGCAGTAGTTTCGGATGCACCAGCGGAAGAACATAACAAGAGGAATGGTGAGGTTTACGCTTCTCGAATGGAGAATCAGGCGAAAGGGAAAGTTGTTACGGATAGTGTACCATTGGAGGCTAGTCCTGGAAGGCGAACAAATACAAACAGGAAAGAGGATGTTGGGGATAGTCGGGCTCTTAATCAGATAAGTGTGATAGCAATGGAGGAAGGCGCGATTCTGCAGGTAACGAAAAGTCGACATATTACAGCTGGTGGGAGTCATTCAGTGGTTTCAATCTCGGATGATAGCAGGAACAATATCATTAAGAGGAGTAATCGGGGAAAGGGTAGTCGAAGAGAAGTGGGGGAAGGTAATAAAGGACTTAAAGTGAGGAAGAACAAAGATTTTAGTTTCTCCCCGGCAGTGCTTACAGATTGGCTGAAGAATGTTAAGGTTAATACAAAACATGACAAGGTTACGCTGCATGATGAGGGCTCGTCAGTTCAACGTGAAAACGAACATGAGGAAACACTCTCGCATGCAAAGGAGACTCTGAGTACAATACTTGAAGAAGACATTTCTCTCGAGAGGGAGAATGTCAATCCGAACCTCCCTCAATAATTGGGGTTCTCTCACTTAGATATCTTTATGGTTAATTTTCTTTTTTGGAATTGTCAGGGCGTCGGAAGCCCTAAATTCAGACGTCATCTACGGGAACACTGTCGGGAGAGTCGACCTGATCTAGTAGCGTTGTTGAAAACTCGGATTAGTGGTATTAATGCTGATAAAGTCATCCGGAGATTGGGATTTCAGAATTCTTTTAGAGTTGAAGCTCATGGGTTTAGTGGTGGTATTTGGATTCTTTGGAAAGACGGATTAGACGTGGAGATTTTAACCATTTCAAACCAATTTATTCATGGCATATGCTGGTCAGATAATGAAAATAGATGGTTGTATTTTACTGCTATTTACGCTAGCCCACAAGTAGAGAAACGAAAACTTATTTGGAAGCACCTCACGGAACTTATGCCAGGTGAAAATGAAGCGTGGTTGTTGGGGGGTGACTTCAACTCCATTCTACGGCTAGACGAGAGGGAAGGTGGTTTAAGTCGTGGTTCAGGGGTGAGCCAATTGTTCGTTGATTTTGTTTTTGAAATGAAATTATTTGAGGTGGATTATCGAGGGCTACAGTTTACGTGGAGAAGAGGTAATTTATTTAAACGTCTAGATCATTGCCTTATGAATAGTTGTTGGGCTAATATTTTTCCTGGTACGATGGTGATACATCTTGATAGAGTGGGTTCGGACCATTGCCCTCTTGTGCTAAAACCTCAGAGTAACATGAGTTTTCAGTCGATTCGGCCATTTCGCTTTATTGCGGCTTGGCAGGATCACCCTCAATTCAAGGATTTTTTGTCGGAAGTTTGGAGGAATGATTTGGATGCGCTAACTAACGTCAATTCCTTCCAAAGTAAAGCTAGTGAATGGAATTTGAATGTGTTTGGGCACATAGAGGAAAAAACGCGAACTATTGGCTCGGTTACGGGGTATTGATAGAGCGCTTATTACTCGATATTCACAACGTTTGGTGGACTTGCAACACGTGCTGGAGTATGAACTAGAACAAGTCCTTCAACAAGAGGAGAGTTTGTGGCTGCAAAAATTGAGAACTCAATGGGTTCTTCATAGTGACAAAAACACTAAATATTTCCACGCTTGTACGATGATGAGACGTAGGCGTAATCATGTGGGGGCACTTAAGGACATCAATGGTAACTGGGTGTCGGAGTAGGCCACTCTTTGCTCGATGGCAGTGAATTTCTATAAGGATTTATTCACTAGTAGTAATGAAGTTGATTATGGGTATCCGTTTCAGGGATGTTTTCCTGTTCTTTCTAATTCTGAATTGAACGGACTCATACGACTGCTACTTAATGAAGAGATCCGTGAAGTCTTATTTAGCATGAGTCCGTTAAAAGCTCCGGGAGTAGATGGACTACATGCGATTTTTTTCCAGCGGAATTGGGATACGGTAAGCACCAGCGTATGTCTGTTGATTCAAAGTATTTTTGCAGGAAAAGCGTTCGATAAGGATTTCAATCGAACACTCGTGGTTCTTATTCCTAAAGTTAAAGCTCCCGAATCCTTCAGTCAATATCGACCTATTAGCTTGTGCTCTGTGTTATACAAACTTGTTACAAAGATAATTGTGAATAGGCTGAAATCTTTTATGAAATTTTGGATATCGAAAAACCAAACAAGCTTTGTTCCTGAACGTTCGATCATGGATAATGTTATTATAGCGCAAGAGGTAATTCACTCCATGCGATTGAAGAAAGGTAAGGTTGGTTTTATGGTTATCAAGATCGATCTTGAGAAAGCCTATGACCGCCTTGAGTGGTTATTTGTTGAGGACACGTTAAGAGAGTTGCATATTCCAGAGAATCTTAGGAGACTTATAATGAGATGTGTTTCTTCAGTCTCGACGCAGGTACTTTGGAATGGTGTTATGTCTGAATCCTTTA